AGGATATCTGACTCTTGCAAGGGATATTGAGGTCATGGAGGCCAAAACGCCTGAAGACATCTACAAGGTAAATCAGTTTTAATGGATTTTAGGCCTGCTATTCATTTATTCAGTCACAAATTATGTTTTCCTCAGTCTTTGACCTGCCCTTTTGAACTTTTTAGGCTCACTTGCTCGACGGCAGGGCTAGCTCTGGTGCAAGCGCGGATTCTGCTAGACAGAATTTGGCTGCTACCTTTGTCAATGCATTTGTAAATGCTGGTTTTGGTCAGGTATGGTTGCAGATTGTTATAAAATAGATATAGTGGAAGACGTGTCGTCTTAATATATTTGCTTATCGCAGGACAAACTAATGACAGTACCTTCAGACTCGACCACCGGATCTTCTGGAAATTGGCTCTTCAAAAATAAAGAACATGGCAAGACTAGTGCAGCTGCTAGTCTGGTATGCTTTTTCTTATTTGATAAATTTATTTGCTGTGTTTAGATCATGGAAGTAGAAATTGTAACCAGATCTTTTTGTTTACCTATCATAGGGTATGATTCAACTGTGGGATGTGGACTCAGGACTTTCTCAACTCGACAAATATTTCCATAGTAATGATAATCCTATCATTGCTGGAGCACTGCTGGGAGTTGGGATTGTAAATTGTGGCATTAAGAACGATTGTGATCCTGTGAGTTAATGTCATGTTTGATTTTGCTGGAACCATTTGTGCTAATATTTGCAGCCATTCTTCCATCTTACTCAGCTTTATTTCTCAGGCATTGGCACTTCTTGGAGACTATATAGACAAAGAGGATTCATCTGTCAGAATTGGTGCTATCATGGGTCTGGGAATTTCATACGCAGGTTCCCAAAATGACCAGGTCAAGACTTGTTATATTATTTCCCATATTACTTGAATGTTTCGGGTGTTCACGGAACATTAACATGCTCACTGTTTCAACAGATTCGAAGCAAATTGTCCCCGATACTGAATGATGCGAAAGCGCCTCTCGATGTGATTGCATTTGCTTCACTTTCTTTGGGAATGATATATGTTGGTTCCTGTAACGAAGAAGTAGCACAATCTATTATATTTGCTTTGATGGATCGAAGTGAGGCAGAACTGGGAGATGCCCTCACTCGATTCTTGCCACTTGGTCTTGGACTTCTATACCTGGGCAAACAGGTTGGCAATTTGTTGTACTTAATCTTGCTCTTTGTACCTTATCATTATTTGCGTGGCTTGACCAACATCAACTTGTTCCAATATCTACCAGGAAAGTGTAGAGGCTACAGCTGAAGTTTCAAAGACGTTCAATGAGAAGATTAGAAAGTATTGTGATATGACACTTCTTTCTTGTGCTTATGCTGGAACTGGGAATGTCCTAAAGGTATCTAATCAATTGTGCTGGTGGTTGAGTGACGTAGTTCATTACTTTCTTGTTTAGTTGTTGACTCCTACTTATATATTCAGGTCCAAGACCTTCTTGCTCAGTGTGGCGAGCATCTTGAGAAAGGTGACATCCACCAGGGTCCAGCTGTGCTTGGGTTAGCAATGGTTGCTATGTCTGAAGAACTGGGCGTTGATATGGAGATTCGTTCTTTGGAGCGGATGCTACAATATGGAGAACAAAACATTCGGCGTGCTGTACCTTTGGCCCTTGGTCTCCTTTGTATATCCAATCCAAAGGTAAATACTTTTGTAAATGTAGTTTTACTTCGCCTGCTTACAATTGTTAGTGGTTGTATAGAGTAATGCTGGTTTTTAATATTTTTCTCACAATTCCAGGTGACTGTAATGGACACCTTGAGCCGACTTAGCCATGACACAGATTCGGAAGTTGCCATGGTTAGCAATCATTTCACTTCATAGCCTGTCCCGTATTAGTTAGTTGAATAGTATTGAGAGGGGGCTGATCTTTCTTTTGACTCCTACAGGCAGCAATTATATCATTGGGACTGATTGGCGCTGGAACTAATAACGCAAGGATAGCTGGGATGCTTCGGAACCTCTCCAGCTATTATTACAAGGATGCCAATCTTCTCTTCTGTGTAATGTGTTCCCCATTTTTTGTTTTCGTACCCTGCGATAAACTGTTGTTCTTGTTGGAATTATTGTACTCACTGGGTAAGTCATTATGCAGGTGCGTATTGCTCAAGGGCTGGTGCACATGGGAAAGGGTCTCTTAACACTCAGCCCCTTCCACTCTGAACGGTTCTTGCTATCGCCGTAAGTTCATTCTTTTTTTTACCGCTAGAACCAAATATTTTTTGATAGTTGGATGTTCAAAGGTTTCTCATGTGGACCTTATTTATGCAGAACCGCACTTGCTGGTATAGTGACACTTTTGCATGCATGCCTTGACATGAAACCAATCATACTCGGGAAGTACCATTATGTGCTGTACTTCCTCGTTTTGGCGATGCAAGTGAGTTCAATTTCTGTCCCGTTTACTCCCCTCATGTTATTTAGGTCTGATGAACTTGCTATGATTTGATTTTTAATCAAATTTTGTTAAAAAATGTGTAGCCAAGGATGATGTTGACAGTGGACGAAAACCTGAAGCCATTGTCAGTGCCAGTGCGGGTAGGACAAGCAGTTGATGTGGTTGGACAAGCGGGTCGGCCCAAGACCATAACCGGTTTCCAGACACACTCCACACCTGTTCTCCTGGCTGCTGGAGAGAGAGCCGAACTAGCCACCGACAAGTATGTTCTTCTTCCTTTCTTCCTTGTACTCTTTCGTTTTCTCATATGAAAAGCTTCTCGGTATCTGATTATAAAACTCGGATTGTAAATGTCAAACAGATACATTCCTCTGTCGCCGATACTGGAAGGATTCATCATCTTAAAGGAGAATCCAGACTACAGAGAGGAGTGAAGAGATGTTTTCTCGAGACCACCCATAGGAGAGAGCTTCTGCTTCCTGCTACATTCTCAATTCTCACTAGTTTTATTATTTCGTCTATGTTTTTATGCCTTCTTTTTTTCTTTCTATCTCCGTTTAAGCTTTGTTTCATTATCTCGGGATCTTTGTATGACTTGACGCTTTAATTATATAACTTAAGCCTGTTTTTTGTTTTAAACTTTTTATTATAGTTTTCTGAATAAGGGTTTACGAAAACTATTAAAATACATTAAACAAAAGCCAAAAATTAGTAAAATCTTCCTATCATTCAAAGTTTTGTTATAGATTCTTCCCAAAATCAATATTGAATCAACTTTTTTCAAAAAAATTTCACGATCCATATTTTTTTTCTTGATGATGACATAAAAGAGAAGAAAATTTTAGCCATTTGCATAAACTTTTGGAAAAAAGATATTTGGCTACACGAAGTATCCGCGAAAACATGGCCACACATGCAAAGTTTAAAAATGTATCTCTAACTACACAAACTATATGTATCGCATGCCACATATACGAACTATATGTATCGCATGCCCACATATACGAACTATATGTAGTCATGTTGCCAACATCACAAACATTTTTTTCTGATAAATTTTCGCCGGAATCCGGTATTGACCAGTTTGACCGGCGTTGACCGGCGTTGACCAACATAAATATTCAAAAAAAAAAAAAATTTAGTTTTTTAATATTAAGAAAATTATGTTATTGAATCATTTATAATATTATATAATTAAAAAAATATATACAATATTCAATATAAAAATATTTTGTATATATATATTCAATGCATTGATTTTTATAATTAGTTAGTTTTGATACTTCAAAACTAAACTAAAAATAAAATAAAAACCAATTAGGTAAAATAATTGTAAATATGAAATTTTCTTCGGGCAATTGACAAAAATAGCACCAAAAAAAGAATTTATTCCAAAATTAGCACAACATTTCTAAAATTCCACAAATAGCACTCTAAACTTTAACTAAATAGAAAATGAGAGAAAACACTAACCTAATATTAAATTAAATCATTTTAAAGTAGAAATATATACCCTAAATTGAAAATAGGGAACCCAAATATAATACCACAAACTAATATTAAAATGAATCACTCGAGAGGTTGTGAACACAAACTCGACTGATAAAGGAATTTCTTTTAAATGGTGGAAATATATACCCTACATTAGAAATAATGAACCCAAACATAATAACACAAATTTAATATTAACATAAATCAATATGTTTTTTAAATGGTGAAAATATATACCCTAAATTAGAAATAGAGAACCCAAATATAATATTTAGAATTTATTTTGGTTGAATAGTTTCTATATAAAAATTGTGGTATTATTAGAAAAAATAAACTAGTGATAATACTATTGAAACAAAAAAATTAATAGTGAGTCAGTCAACTAATGCTATTTTTGGAAGTTTATTGAATGTGTGCTATAATTGTCCATAAAAGTTGTTTTAGTGCTAGTTTTGGAGAATTTCTCTAGTCTAAATTTTTTGTATAATATGTTGTTAATTTTTGTATCTAAAATTATTACAAAAAATTCTTTTAATAATACAAAAAAATTAACAACATATTATAAAAAAACTTTAGACTAGAGAGTATAGAAAATTTCATATTTACAATTATTTTACCTAATTGGTTTTTGTTTTATTTTAGTTTAATTTTAAAATTATTGAAACTAACTAATTATAAAAATCAATGCATTGAATATATATACAAAATATTTTTATATTGAATATTGTATATATTTTTTTAATTATACAATATTATAAATGATTCAATAACATAATTTTCTAAATATTAAAAAACTAATTTTTTTTTTTAATATTTATATTGGTCAACGCCGGTCAAACTGGTCAATGCCGGATTCCGGCGAAAAGTGTACCGGAAAAAAATGTTCGTGATGTTGGCGACATGACTACATATAGTTTGTATATATGGACATGTGATACATATAGTTCATATAGTTTACGATCCATTATTAAAGATGTGTGGCCATGTCTTTGCGGATACATCTTTTTTCCTAAACTTTTCAAAACAAACTAATTTATAGGGCCTTTGACCCAAAAGTGTTAAGTTATAGGGCCTTCCTTTGGCCCAAAAGTGTTTATAACAAAAACACTTAAGGTTTGGTCCAAACAGGCCTTAACGGTTTCATAGGGTTTATCATCATTTCCCGTAAATCGTAATCAGAATTCACCATTCTCTCTTCTTCTCGCAGCCGTAGTTTTTGATCTTTCTCTTCATTCCCTCTCCCGATGGCCACGTCCGCCGTCCTCTCCGGTGCCAGATCGATGCTTCGAGCTGCTTCGTCACGTAGCGCCGCTGCTTCCACTGGCCGCTTCGCCTCTCAAGCGAAATCAGCCCCACCGCTGTTTAGAGCTACTGCCAGAAGAAGCCCACTACTTTCACCTCTCCGGTTAGTCTCATTAGCCCCTCTATCATACCCATTTCCTTATTTGATCTCATTTCACAGTTGTGTGCTACTTGAAGCTTGAAAAGGGTCAAATTCGATCGAATTGTGAAAAAAAGGAACTTGTCTATGTGTTAATCATGTATCCAGATCGATTATTCAGAAGTAAAAAGACGAAATTTTGCATCTTGATGTGTATTATTCAGAAACTCTCTTATCATTAGTCATTACTTAAATAATTTTCATTTGTTTGTTTTTTGATTTTGATGATAGAAATCCTGTGGAACTGAGCTTCTGTGTGGAGTCATTGTTACCATACCACACGGCTACAGCTTCAGCGCTAATGACTTCAATGCTTTCTATCTCTGGCCAAAGCTTTGGCTGGCTCTCTGACGGTACTTTCTCACATCCTTAAACTCTGTAATGCTTGAACAATGACTTAAGTATGTACTAAATGAGTGGATATTTGCTTTGTTTGATCGATGATATGTGTTTGAGAACTGTTTCTGTATCGGCTTTCTAGATTGATGTATCAGACATAGGTAGAGAATTAGGTTAGATTTACCATTTAAGAATTCTTTTGTTTGTTGCTATGGGCGAAAAACTGGATCAATTGTTGTTGTCTTTCTGCTTAACGTTGAAAAGAGATGGCGGCTCAATTGGTCTAGTTTTTCAATCTTGTAGGCTGACCGAAGAGTAGATGAAGACAACGAAGCCAAGATTTGGGTTTCCTGCAAATAACATTTATAAGCAATTAGAATGGGTTTCCAAGGCAATAATATAGGCTTTAGATACACATCAGTGATTGATGCTGCATTGTGTTTCAAACCTGGTTCCTACATATCTTCTTAAAAGATAACATGTACTTTTTCTTGTTGGTTATAGCATTTGAGTTGATTTATAGAGACTTTAATGAAAGAATTATTACTGATTGGTCTTATAATCCCAGCTTGCAATGATGATGTGTGATGAGTTAACCAGAGGAACAGTGAAGCTACAGTTTATGTACAAAACTCTACCTTTTAAAGCCTTTCTTCCCCAGAAAACTTAGGAACGAAAACCCTCTTTGATTTTGCCTATTTGTTTCTGAGTTTCTTGGAGAGATTTTGTTTGTTTTCAGCCTATTAAGTAAGACATGTTGTATTGGTTAGACGAGTAACTGATGTTTGGTATAATTTATCAGCTTGCAAAGAGGACTTTTGATGATGTCTACGCGTACCCAATGCGATTGCGAGAGAAGGTTTAAGAGTATTTAGGCAAAGAATAATTGTTGTACTGCTCAAACACAAATCATATCTTTGTCTTCAGTTTACATATCAAAGACAAATGTCCTCCATCTTTTAAATCAAATCTATATGATCTTTGTTACATCAACATAAAAACTCAAAATTGCATTTTGTTTACTCGAGCAAGCACTTTTACTAATTTAAAACTTGGAAACATCTGTGTTTGGATACTACAATCAAGGATATCATAGTAAAGAGGGAAAAAAGAAGCAGTTTTCATTAAGGTGACGACCCGTAAACTTGAAAGAATGTTTTAAGTTTCTTCTTCTTGTCCCATTGATCTCCTTTATGTCACATTGTAGTCTCGGCCAAAGACGAGGTACCTTCAAGACTTGAATGCGAACTTTGTTAAACGATCTCTGTCTTCAATTTTTTCATACAAAAAAAACAGATATCCTCCATCTCTCTGTTACATCAACTCGATATTTTAAATTGCATCTCTATTCAATGTGGTTAGACACAAAGTATAGACACTAGAGTTTCTTTGATCCTTCAGTTTCTGCAACTACCACCACTAAAGCTCGCTCTTCTGATGGATGTGTCTGTTCTTCTTTCGCTGGAACTGTCTCTTCTTCTTGTGGAAGTGTTTCTTCTTCTTGCTTCTCATTCTCAAGAGGCTCGACTTCCTCGGGATTTAGCTGTAGATTCTGTCTCCTATACCGAAATATCACCAGGATGATAAAAACTGCAAAACATGAAAGACTTAAAGGTTATATTTTATATAAGGCAAAACAAATAAACTGTCAACCATTGGTTAGGTAAATTACCTGCAAAAATTCGGGTTCTTATGCTAGTCAAGTTCCAAAACGCTGTCACCACAGAGCCTGCCAAGATCTTCTTGTGTGAGCAGACTCCCCATGCTTCACCTATTCTTGTTTTCACTCTTTCAACTGCACACATGAAACTCAAACCAGGTCAAGAGTTTTAAACATTGGACCAGTTAAGGACTTTTACAAATACTTGACTGTTGATTGTAACCCAATTGACTATATTTGAATTGCTACAATTCGATTTCTTCACCTCTTTGGCTAATCTGATGGGTGTAACATGAATACAGCTTTGGGATGGTGAAGCTGAGGAAGAAACCTGTTTCAATAACATACACACATATCAGCTCAGTTCCTGTCATGCTTAACAATGTTTCAGCTTATGTTCCAAATGTTAATACCAAATGCAGATAGCCTCCACAGTGTTATGAGATGACCAAACTCAGCTCCAAGTAGCAGAAATGGTGTCACCTGTGAGAAAAGAGAAACAGCAGATTAAAGGGCAAGTAAACCACCAAAACTGAGTTGATAGAGAGAGAGGGAGAAGTAAATGTCGAGTTTTTACCTTGAGTGTCATTGATGGTTCTCCTGAAAAAAGCTCACTAGTCTTCGAGATCAAAAAGTTGGTCGCAGGAAGCACTCGTCTAGCTAAACGCAAGACATCATCTTCACTCACATGGAACGCTCTCTTTGCGTCTTCATTTTTCCTAAAAACAACACATTGATGGATCACACTACCTATTAGCTAATAGACAAGGCCAAACAAAACTGCAAAAGGACCAAAAAAGTAATGTACCTTTGACAAAGAGCGTTTGACAAGAACGAACCGCAAAGTAACACAAGTCCGAGATTGGAAACCGCCGAGAAAAAGCTTCAAAACAAAGAAAAAGGTCATGACTTTGACAAATCTAATTGAGCCTAGAAACACAAGCTAGAGAGGGTACCTAAAGTTGACTCCTTTGGCAAAGCAAGAAGATAGGAAAGACAAACATCCAAAACCAAACCAGAGAGTCGATTTGGCAACATCTCTCCACATAACCAAATCACTGATAATCTCTCCAATCCGATTCAAATCGCTTTGACATGTATCTTCAACAAATCCAACACACAAGCAAATTCAGAATCAAGCAGAGAAATACATAAAGCAAATCAGCTAGAGAAAGAAGAGTACTTGGAAGATCTGAAGAAGAACAAGGAGGAGCTGAACTTTGCTTATCTTTCTTAGGTCGACCATTCGTCGTCTTCCGCTTTCTAGGAGGTTTTACGATTTCTTCGATCACCAAATTCGCTTCTTTCTCTTCCACAGCTTCAGATCTTCGCCTCGATCTCCGGGGATTCCTCGGAGAAGCTAAAAGACCCTTTTGCCCTACTTTCCCTTTACCCCGTTTACGAACCACCGCCGCATCTTCAGAGGCCATTTCGAGTCGATCGGATAAACGGGTCTTCGATTTTCGAAGCGGAGAAGGAGATAAGAGGATGATATCGCGAAGAGGAACAGGAGAAGATGGGTTTGGAGAATCGTTGCTCATGGGAGAAGATAGAACCAAATCAAGAGAGAGATTTGGAGGATTCGAATCATGGAGAGAATTGTTGAGACGCGAAGCTGATTTAGTGTTGGATCGGTGATAAGGAGGCGTAGACTCCATTGTTATGAAAAGGGAAAATCTCAGAGAATTGATTTGAGAATCTCAGAGAATTATTAGGGTTGCGTTTTAGAAGAAGACACAGTGTCTGATCAGATATAGCCGTTGGAGGAATTTTTCTTTTTCCTTTTTTTTTTTTTAAAGATTCCAATTGAATCTTGACGGTCGTAGCAAACGTCGCTCCAGTCTGTCTTAACGGCGTATGCAAGAATCATCTAACGGCAGAACTCTGGAAATATCACGTAAAGGGAAAAAAATTGAAAAACCGGCGATCTATTATTATTTTGAACGTTTAATACATGTATTTTTAAAATTGAAATAAAAATACCTCGATTATAAATTTTGTCTTTAAAAATATTCGTGTTATAAAGGTTGGTAGAATCTTACCCACGAATTAACAGCTGATCTCTAACCGCAGTTAAAAGTTAACCCTACATATTTAAATAGATACTAATATATTATATGTTTTAGTTATCAATACGACTAATAGATGACGGTTTTTTCGGATCTTTTTCCCGAACATAAAGTAAAGATCTAGCTTTTATGAAAAATAATTATATTTTTATAAATCCTATTGGCTAATCCATGCAGTCACCTCCGTTAAGAACACACTAAAGTGTTACAGAGTAGACTTCTTCTCGAAGGACCATCACATTATCTATATCGAATTTAGTATGTTTTCTGACTAATGCATGAGAGTAACCGAGTTGCCGGTTATCGGACTTCCATGGTCTGAAGTATAAGACCAGACTTCCCACATGAATGTGATTTTTGTTTCTAAAAAAGTTCGAATCCTAGAGGAAATCCCAGATCTCATCAACCACTGGACCACAAACATTCGGGCATAATTTATATATTTTTGGGACTACCCTTAGCATGTTTCATATGTGAAAACTAACTTACTAAACGAACGACAAGAATTAACCTGCTGATACAAAAATGAACAAATATATATACATACTGACAATATATCTCAGATTTATGCATATCTCATACATTCATAACATTTACTATAATTCTAACGTGTAAAGAATAACACAAAGCAAGCTAAAAGTTTGTCGACCAAAAAAAAAAAAAAGTTTGTCGATCGACCAATCATATCCTATAAAACTTGATTATTTTACTTAGTTATGTATTATAACTAGATTTTAACCCGCGGTGTACCGCGGGACTATATTTTTTTTGAAAATTATCCATTGTTTTGTTTGATTTAAATGTATTTATTATATATATATATATATATATATATATATATATATATATATATATTATCCCGCATTAAACCCGCGGGTCGATTTTTGATAACTAAAATTTGAAATTTTAAGTTGAATTTATTTTGTTAATATTGTTTGTTTTGTTTAGCATTTATTGTATTTTGATAGTTAATTCTACGATTTCACTCGTAGTACCGCCTCGTATTAATATTGATTCAAACCCGTCCTACCATATAATCATGTGCCGTGAAGTTAAACATTATTTTGTTATTGTTTTATAATATTTTAATTTTAAAAACATATATAAATTGAGTCAATTTAAAAGTTTGCTTTCAATGGCTCCCATGATATATATATATATATTTTTAATTTTTATAGAGTTCAAATATCATTAATATAATAAACTTTTTATAAAATTTAAATATTATAAATACTTTAAATGTTTTATCATCTTAAAATATTTACAATGTTTAAACTTCTTATAAATTTTTATAAAGTTTAAATATTTATAATATTTGAAACTTCATAAAAGTTTTAATATCGACCCAAACTTCATAATTGTATTTTGGTTGTTAATTCTAAGATTTCACTCGTAGTATATCGTTCCGTATTAATATCAACACAAACCCGTCACACCATATAATCCCGTCCCGTGAAATTAAACATCATGTTATTTTTCTTTTTAATAATAATTTTATTTAGAAGACATATAATTCGAGTCAATTTAAAAATTGCTTTTAAATTGTCTCTATAGTATATATATTTATAATTTTTATAGAGTTCAAATGTTATTAATATATAAACTTTTTTATAGAATTGAAATATTATAGATACTTAAAAAGTTTTATAAAATTTAAATATTTATAATATTTAAATTTCTTAATAATCTAAAATAACATATTATTCCTTAGACATAAATAATATTTATATATTTGGTAATAATGTTTTTTTGGAGTTAATCTAATTTATAAATAAACAAATTATTTATAGCCAAAATGAGTTTGGTTTATAATAAGTAATATAGCAAAATGAGTTTGTCAAATAACGAATAGTAACCATAATTTAATTAATGTACATTAAAATAAATATATTTAAAAAATGAATTACTTTAAAAAATTGGTTTGTCAAAATTAATTAAGGGAGACTCACAAAAATGCCCCTTTTTCAATACCCCTTTTCAAAAATGCCCCCTTTGGATGTCCATTTTTAAAAATACCCCTTTTATGTACAAAATGACTAAATTACCCTTCTTTTAATAAAAGATATCATAAATATATAAGGAAATATAACAAAATTAGGTCCACAAAATACAAAATATTTTTTGGCGGGAAAAGTGATCCCCCAATTTTTCCCGCCAAAACACTTGTAAAAATTTGTAAAACCTTTAAAATACCTTGTAAAATTTTCCCGTAAAATTTTTTCCCGCCAAAAAATTTTCCCGCCAAAAAATTTTTTTTGCGGGAAAAGTGATTCCGCAATTTTTTTGGCGTTAAATTTTTGGCGGGAAAATTTTTCCCGCCAAAAATTTACAAGGTATTTTAAAGGTTTTTTACAAGGTATTTATAAGGTTTTACAATGTATTTTAAAAGGGTTGTACAACGTATTTACAAGGTATTTATAAGATATTATAAGATTTTACAAGTCTATTTTATAAGGTTTTTAGTTAGCTAGGTT